TATATATATATATATATGTATGTATGTATGTGTGTTTTTCTCCTCTTGAATTTTAAGCTTCAGTATTTCCTTGCTCTTATTACTCGTCTGATTATATGTTTCAGACTGCAAAAACTAATGCAAATGAAATCAATCATCATCTAAAACTTATTTATGAAGAATTTAAACCGCTTTATTAGAAGCAAACTCAGAGATAACATCACTCTACGATACCCAACTCAAAAATCAATACAAAATTACTTAAAAGCCGGATTTCCTTCCTCGTTTCTCTGAACACAATTTCTATTCTAAATTCTCGTGTGTATTTATATGAACAACTTGAAACAAAAACAAAAGAAACAATTTTGAAAATTACAAGAAAAATAATCATCTGCAGAAGCTGCTCTCCATAAACTTAACAAACTCCCCAAAATCTATCTTCCCATCACCATTCACATCATGCTCCCCAATCATCACCACGCATGAATCCAATCCAACTCTCTCCAAACCAAGCTTCCATAGAACTCTTTGAAGCTCCCCTGCATCAACAAACCCATCACCGTTCTCATCAAACACAGCAAAAGCCTCCTTCACCTCCTCCAAGCTTGGCTCTTTCTCATCAAACATGGCTTCAACTTCCTCCATTCCCAAAAACTCCTTAAGCTTCTGATCAGCATCCTCGTTTCCATTCATTTTCATCCCCATCCTATTCAAGACAAGCTCCACTTCTTCCCTCATGATGACCATCTCATCCTCTGCTCTCGCTTCTTCAGCTCTGAGCTGACCTTTTATAGCCTTGGAAGACCGGAAAGAGAAAAATAATCTCTTGGAGAGCTTAACGAATCTGAAGTAAAAAGAGATGATCGCTTCAAGGATGATGAAGCTGATAAGCTCTGATGACAAGAGGCTCTTCTCCATTGAAAAGTTTTCACCTTGGAACAGAAAGATGAAAGAAAGAGTAAGTTTTTCGTGTTGAGAGAGAGGAGAGAAGGTGTTGGGTTATATAGAATAGTTTTGGGTTTCTTCGAGTGAAGGTGAGGAAGACAGATGGCAAGGGAGAGTGAAGTCTGAATTCAACGCCGGAGGGAATCAGGAAAGATAGCGTTGAAGAAAATAGAGAAAATAGGTGGGGTCTGTTTCCTGGAAAGAGGGGAGAGATATGTCTTTACTGTATTTTATTCAAGTTTGAAATGAAGCTTCCTGGAAGAAGAGAAGCGTGCTTCTGTGTTAAATTCGCTTGCGAATTTGTCTCTCTGTTTCGTCGTTGCATGTTTGGAAGTTTGTGGTGTGGAAGAGAAGGGGCAACCAATCGGAAATAATATAACAATTGGTGCTTTTGATATTTTGGTATAGGTGGTGGAAGATGCCTGCCTTCTTCTTCGCAATAAAATAGTAAATGAGAAGTTTGGTCGGCATTAAGAGGCCTAAATGGGTCTTGGGGCGTAGACGGAAATAATATAACAATTGGTGCTTTTGATATTTTGGTATAGGTGGTGGAAGATGCCTGCCTTCTTCTTCGCAATAAAATAGTAAATGGGAAGTTTGGTCGGCATTAACTATTAAGAGGTGTAAATGGGTCTTGGGGCGTAGACAGCTGCTCGTTTATATTTCGAGCTCAAAAAATGTGTTTGTATTTGGCTCGTTTACATAACGTGTCAAACACGAGATGTATTCAAGAACAATGATCCGTTTAGACACCCCTAATCACGTAGCCATAATATGTTAAGGGTAGAGGCGAGATTTAAAAATTATTATTTATATTAAAATATCATTTGAACCTAATTTAATAATTTTTATTTTATTTTCTTAATTAATACTTTCATTTGTAGGTTTGTAATCAATTATTTTTTTAAAAAATGTCACTCATCAAATATGTGTGTGTGTGTGTATTTGATGAATTTGTAGGTTTGTAATCAATTATTTTTTTAAAAAATGCCACTCATCAAATATGTGTGTGTGTGTGTGTGTGTATTTGATGAACAGTATTTGAAGCCAAAACGAGCCAAATGCGAACGAACAAATCTTTGTTCGTGTTTGGCTCGTTGACTTGGCGAACATGCCAAACACAAGTTGTTAGAGTACAATAAGCCATTTTGACAGCCCTAAATGGGTCGAGTCGGGTTGAGTTTGAGCCACCTACAATTTAAAATTGAGGTTGATTTTTTTTTTATCAAGTTTGAGCTTGGGCTCGAGCTTTTAAGTCTACGAGTTTGAGCCGGTTTTTTTATTATAAATGAAGGGAAAACATAATAATTTTAGGTAGTGTTATAATCATGGTTTAGAAAATCGAACTGAACTGGCTGGTTCGACGGTTCGACCGTGAAAGGATGGTAGGCCTAGCTCCTGTTAGCCAAAAAAAAACCCTGCCGAATAGAAACACTCAGAGCCGGGTTTAACCTGCGGTTCAACTTCTGAGCCGGCAAACCTGCTCCGGTTCTAAGGCGGTTCGTTTCAAGGGCATATTTTATGGATTTTACATATCTAACACCCAAATTCTTTAATTTTTTTTTTTTTCTACCGTTAAGAAAATCATTATTACAAAGGATTTTAATTTATATATATATACCACATAATTTTATTTATTTACATATCTAACACCTACACTCTTTTTATTTTACATTTATAGCATCAAAATTATCTATATAACTATTTTAATTTTTAAAAAGTGAAATATAAGTTTTCATGTACAGATAAAATGATATATGTTAAAATAGAATTTTAGGTGTTAGTTATTTAAATACATATGAATTAAGTGGGATACATGTAAATCTTATGTCTTGTAATTTTTAAATACACTTATAATTTATTATGAATTCGACCTTTGATTCGATTTTCGCAACTTTGGTTAAGAAAAAATAATAAATAGAAAATAATAATTAGGAGAGAGATAATAATAATTTATTTAATATTAAATATGAAATATTATATTTTTAAATATTTTTAATACTTTAAAATAAATACATATACATTGAAACATTTTATCATAAAGATTTTTATTTATTTTAATTTTAAAATAGATTTTATTCAAGAAATAAGAAATCTAACTCTTTATAGCATTAACTTAGGGTCTGTTTGTGACAGCTGCAGCTTATTGAATAATCTGCTGATAAGCTGATTAAAAATAATTTGCCGATAAGTTAAGTACGGTGGCTATTACAAATTTTTATTTTTTTGGAAAAGTCAGATCACATCCAGAAAACTGGCACCACACTTAGTCAGGTGCAGTGTGAAAACGCTGTTTTTCAACGTTTTGAAAACGCATAAGCTGCCAAAACACAGTTTACTCAAACAGACCAGATGTGTTTTCAAAATGCCACCGCACTAAATAACCTGCCCCAAAATTTTCTTCTAAACTAAATAAAATTTCATTTTTCATATATATTCTAAACTTTATTTGATTATTTGATCTTTGTGAGGTTGCGGGCACATGCAAACTTGAAATAAACCACGCGAACATTTGTTTTTATTATTATGTTTTATTGTTTTATTGTTTGTTTTTAATCACTCTTTTATTGTAATTTTGTGATTAATTATACTTGCCCTTAAATAGATGGCACTCTCTAAGCTTATTAGAAGAAAAAAAAATCTTACAATGTATATTTAAAATAAAGTTCTCAAATGGCAAAAATCTCAGAAAGTGTAAGTCTTTATAATTCTTTATAATTCTATTAAATAATTAGGCCTCAAAAGAAATATGTCATATATTTTATGTATTTTTATTCATAAAAAAACATTTTGAAGATCACAAGTCTTAGAACATACACAATCCTTACTTATGTAAAGATATGGAAGGTACAATCCTATATAAAATCCCACAAAGAGCACGAAATATACGACAACATGCTGATTAATTAAGTAAATTGTGTATTTATGCTTTAAGTGAGGGGTGCTATATTTTTTTATGACAACAACACAATAGTCAACTATGATGATCTTGATCTTTGGCAAGACTTGAGAGATATAAATACATTTTGATACGCCATCAATAAGTTTTTTGGCACTGATCTCGAGATTTATTACGGATATTGAGGCAATTTTTTAAGTAAGAAATATTTTAACTTCAATTAAAAATATTCTAGAGCTTCAATTTTAACAAACTTATGATCAAACTGGCTGACTTGATGAGACAGACCCAACGATATCTAAATTGGTTCAATCTGAGTCAAATCAATAATAGAACAAGCCATTAAACCACTTTTGAAAACTGCCAGTACATATTTGGAAGGTCAAACAAATTTCAAATCTGACAATATTATAATAAAATTGAGCGTCTCGGTAAGACAAATCCAACGAGCCCAAGATCGCTCATTTCTGACATCAATAAACACTCAAATGTCCATCGAATCGAGGTAAACTTTTCCGGTCGTTTGATGGAGTGGTCTGAAATCCTTTCTTATTTGCAAAAAGACCTCTCCAATACTGTATAAATAGAGTTCTACCCCGTCTTGAGAATGGACCTAGATCTGGAGACAAAGAAAGATCGGAGCTTGGAGAAGAAGCTCAAGCTCAACATCAATTTTGCACAAAAAATCAAGTGAAATATTTTTCCCTTTTCTGCAACCGTTGAACATTGTCGACCATCACCTCCCAGTCGTCGTTGAACACAATCATCTGCCACCTACACCTTGTAGCAAAGTAGGCCCTTGTGGAGTAACAACATGCACTGCAAAATTGTCGTCTGCGTTACAGAATAGCGAAGCACCCAGCTAAGCAATACACCGTCTACTACACCGTGCAACAACACACTGCAGATAAGGTGCAACCACGTTTCCAAAAGAAGGTGTAACAACACATCCCAAATATGGTCCAACAACATACAAGGAAGACGATGTAACAACGTACCCCACCTACAATGCAATGTCATCTCTCGAAGATGGTGAAACAATGTACCCCGAAGACTGTAACTCTCTCTAAATTCATAAAGCTTTGGACTTTGGCCTATGTGGTCTATAGATGTCATCACAACAAACCACTTGACTAATGTGACCAATTACAACCTACATGACTTAAAACTTTTGTAGTTCCCTACTCTTGCCTCTAAAGCCTACGTATGAAGATCATCACAGCTCACTACTATGACCTCTGTTACTAACCACGACCTAGATGATCCATAGCTTATGCAGCTCTTGACTCCGGCCTCTGTGCCCTACGAACGTCATCACAGCTCACCACCACGACGTAAGTGACAAACTACGACTTATGAGGTTGACAACTCATGCAGCTCTCGACTCAGGCCTCTACGACATACAAATGTCATCACAACTCACTATTGCGGCCTATGTGACAAATATGGTCTATGTGGCTTACAGCTCGAGCAGTTTCAAACTTCAGCCTCTGCGGCCTACAAATATTATAACAACTCATTACTATGTGAACAATTATGATCTACGTAGCTTACAGATTGTGCAGCTCCCAACTCCTACCTTTGCGGCCTATGTACGTTATCACTGCTCACCACCACGACCTACATGACCCACTACGACTTATGCGGCCCATGCGACCCATAGCTCATATAGCTCCCAACTTCTTCCTCTGAGGCGTACCGTTGTTATCACAACTCACTACTATGACTTATATGACCAATTACGACCTACATAGCTCATAGGTTCTGCAGCTTCCTACTATGGGCTCTATAGTCAACTGACGTTCTTGAAGCAACCATCTGCGACCCATACGACCAACTACAACCATGGCTTTCAACCACGACATATACGACAAGCTGATGCTATAGCAACCATCTACAACATTCACGACAAACTACTGACTCCATAGTAATCGACTATGACCCTTCTAGCCTGCTATCATTGAGAACTATAATTAATACAGTCAAATTACAGATATTATCGATGAACTACTATTGTACATTTATAATTATCAACTTAATTTTTATAACTCTATCTCCCTTTAATTCAGAAAAA